CTACAGGAAGGAACCCATAAAAAAATATAGCATCCTTCCACCCAACAAACTTGCAGACAAATTGTGTGAGATAGTAAAAAGGACGCCTGAACAAACACTAAAATAAAACTGCACAAGTAAAGCTGAGGGTATATAATATAACCTAGTTCCTATGTGCTAAAACAAAGCCTAGCCCGTTAAATTAGCAACAAAACAATTCCACCCTTTTTGCTTCTGGCATCCCATACTACAGGATGAAAAATGTTTCATGCTAGCATTTATTTCTAAAAAAAAGTAAAAAAAAGTAGTGCAGATAAGCTGTTACTGGTTTAGTTTTGCTCAATGTTTATTAATACCAGTATTTGCTGCTTCTTCATGAAGGAAAAAGTTACTGTTCATTCTTCTTGTATTTGTATGTCATTAGTAACATCTTTTCCCGCCCCCAGCATGTTTTACAATGACTGAGGAGGGAATGCTTTGGACCTGAACAGTCTCAAGCCAAAAGCCATTATCACAAAACAAGCAGCATACCTAACTGCTTGATCCATCAAAATGTATTCAAGAAGGCTAGGCCAAAACCCACTCGATTCCACAGAACCAGAAACCCATAGACACCAACAAATGCTAACACAACTGTCCACTTCAGAAGTCAGTTCCTTCTATGTCTGACTACGCATGCTCGGTTCCATTTTTCAGAGACAAAATACTGTTCAGTGGCACACATACTGAATTCCCTTCCCAAACAAACCCCTGCTTCACAGTATTTGACAGCTCCCAGCTCGCCCACTTCCTCTTGTTCACAGTCAGCATTAATTGGCTGTACCATGAGAGTTTCTTCCTCCAGGGTGTATCTCAAAGGGAGCACTCTAGTAGGTCCGCAGGCATATCTACACTATACAGCAAGCCATGCTGCCAAGAAGCCAAAACCAGTTTTAAAACCAGTAAAGCTACCATCAGCTGTACTGTTTTCAGAACATGAACAAGTACCACGGTACAGCCCTACACTGACAGCAGCTGGTCCACACATTTCTGTCTGGCTCAGACTAACAAAGGAGCTTTGTGTTCCCACAGGATGGTATGCGAGATTTGTTCAGAATACCGCCTACCTTCACACTGTGAAAGCAGATGCAAAAATAGCTTCAGCTCTTCTGCTGGTTTCCCTTTGCCTTTCTTTAAGTTGACGCAGTTCCTGACTTTCAATCTGCTTTGCTGTTATGGGAGTATCTGTATATTGCCAGTTCACACTGCACTCTCTCCAGACAGAGGTAGTCTTTGCTGTGAAAAACTGTAGCACAGTTTTCACCTTTGGATATAGCCACTCCTGAAAGCAACAAAGGCTGCTTGTACAAAAAGAACATTTTCAAAAGAAATGAAAGGCAAGGGAAAATAAAAAAAAGGTAAAAAATACTTCTGCATCACCTGAACAGAGTTCAAATAAAGAACAGGGTAGAATCCATGCAATAAACAGGGTTAATGAATAGTATTGGAATAAGATTTTTGCAACCAGACATGAAAAATTATCTCTATAATTAGAAGACATCATTATATCAATGTTCAGTTTCGGCTAAGTCAACTTCTAAGGCAGGTTGCATTGTTAGAGCTTCTAGTTAGCAAAAAACGTCTGACACTATTCTTCTTCCTTCGTTTTTTTTTTTTTTTCAACCTTGCAATTGGAGAGAAGATACTAGAAACAGTGCTTGACCATTTCGCTAATAATGGAGCAAGAACTGCAAGTAAAGGTCACATTTTATTTCCTAGAACCAGAACTTTATTCCAGCGTCTCTTCAATAAATGTTGTTGACTCCAAACCTTAGGAACATGTAGAAAACAGGCTAATCAAAACATTTTTACTTAAGTAATAGCTGTCACAGATGCTGTGACAACAGATAATCTTTCACCTTAGTGAATATTTGGATATTTTCCTCAAGTTTATAACAGTTTTACATATAAACTAACAAATTCTAGCAACAAAGAGAGGCATCGATTTAGAAATCAGAACTAGTAAAACACTTTTTGTTATTTTTTGCATAGCGTAAACAATACTAATTTCAAGAAATGTTTGAAGCTTGGATTATGTTAATCATTACTTAGTAATATGGAGTAACTACTTCACTGTATAGGACAAAGAGATTAAATCCCTTCTTGACATTCTATCTGAAGTTCCCAGATGACTTCTAAGGAAAATTAACACGCTTTCTTAAAAAGTGACTAACAAGAGACACTCAAGAAGTGTTGAGAAACTTTCAATACTGGCATTTCCTCTGCAGAAAGATGGACAGCATGAGCAATACATTATGCACTGGATGCTAAAAATCTTAACTGCCGCTTTATGAAGAGCAAGACTGTTGTAGTTTGTCTCACCGCACACCTTTGACAAGCAAGTGACTCCATTTTCTCTGTATCCTCCTACTGGATATTGCTGTCTGCAACTAGAACCTTCCATGTGCCTTCTCTTCTTAAGGCTGAGGAAACCCAGTCTCTCCTCACACACCGTGCGCTCCCTAACCATCTTGGTGGCCCTCCACTGGACTCACTCCTCTGCATCAATCTCTCCCTGGGGAGCCCAAAACTGGATCACTGGATACAGCACTCCAAACGCTGCCTCACAAGTACCATGGAGCTGAAGAATCACTTTCCCAGACCTGCTGCCTACACTCTTGCTAACACAGCCCAGGATGCAGTTTGCCTTTTTACTGCAAGAGCACATCGCCGACTCACGTTCAGCTTCTTGCCTACCTCAAACCCACAATCTTTCTCTGCAAAGTTGCTTCCTAGTCAGTCTGCCCAGCCCCACTTTACACCAGCCCTAGGATTTTGCATTTGCCTTTGCTAAACATCATATGGTTTCCGTTAGCCCTTTTTCTAGTCTATTAAGGCCCCTCTGAACCACAGCACTGGTTTCCAGCGTACCAACCACTTCCCCCAGCTTGGCATAGTCTAGAAACTTGCAGAACGTACATTACACCTTGTCTTCCAAGTCCATTAAAGACATTAAATAGATTGGCCCCAGTATGAAAACGAGAGACATTATCAGTCATCCAAGCAGTACTAGAGCATCTTCACATGCACTTGTTGCCAGAAGTATCACAACACTGAGCAGGAAGGCAGTTGCCCTCTTCACCACCTCATATTCTCACATACAGCTATCATACTTGCCATACTTGCACTCAGTTCCAGCTTCACTAACAGCGTGTAAAGGAGAACATTCAATGGATGGATTTGTAAAAACCTACTTTAGCCAGAATTTGTAGTCAATATTTTTGTTCTGTTGAACAAAAATGAATTTCCAGAGCTCCTTAAGTATATCAGCTTAAAAATAAGTTACCTAATATCACAGAGAAGAAACCACATTGGGTAATTTCTGCCTACCACCTCAGTACTGGGTGGGTTTTTTTGTTTATTTCTTTGATTTAATATATGTATACACATACGCACAAATAAACTAAACCAAGACATCAGTCTAATAATGATCAGAAACTAGCAACTAGCAGTCAATTTCGTATACAGTTACCAAAATTACTCCATAGGTATTTCTGCCCCAGCTACTGCAACTTTTATTCAGTTTTTAGTTCTCAGTTTCAGATTCCAGATGTAGACTTTTTTCTATTTTGAAGTTATGAACACTTAATATTCTAAAAAGAGAAGGTATCAGAAATTTCAGGTAGTTCCTTCCTTCGCTGCACTCCATCTTTCCTACATTTATCCCAATAAAGTTCCAAAAGCACAGGACAGCCATCTGAATCTTGACAAGTCAGAAGTAGCTTCTGGAACACTACGCATTAGAGAAATTAAGGTAAAGAGAAGTTAAAAAAGATAAATTTAAGAAAGAAAGAAGAAATTTAAGAAAGCCTTAACAATGCAAAACTGACAACTCATCCACAGTCTTTACACAAACAGCTGTCACAAATCAGGCTTTCTGGACCAGCACTCCACTTGACTGTGACAAGAGGACACTTACTCCAGAGCTGAACCACCAATTACAGAATCACCTGGGTTCCATAAAACAGTCCAGCACTTGCACAGTTCAGTATCGATTCTACTTAGATAAATACAGAAAGATCAAGTGCAAAAAAGGAAAATGACATGTAACTGTTTAACGATATTGTGAGATGTTCAAGAAAAGAAACAAGCATTCTGTGAAATAAAGAATAAACACTTCTAGTAAAATGTCAGGAAAGACAACTTTGCAGTCTTGCAGTGCAAGCAGGAAGCGAGTTTAAACACAAGACAGAGCAAAACTTGAATTGATGAATAAAATTTAAATTTTTATTTTGACTAGTTATAAGCTACACAGAAGTATTCAGATAATAACTGTCCATTGAAACATGACATCAGTGTATGTTTTCAGCTTCTACAGCTTTTCTTTCAAAATGTTTTGCATTAAGGAGAAGAAACATGGCCAGCACAATCACAAGTTTAGGTTCTTCTGTTTAGGGTTGGGGAGCAGGGAGGGGTGGAACAAGAGTATTTTAAAGTACTTCAAGAAAAGGAGAAATAGCATTTTCAGCTTTTTCAAACGTACAAAATACAATATCTCATCCCACCTCCACCATACTGATCCGTCTCTCCCAAAACACAGGATTATTCACATTCAGTTCAACTCTGCTCCAACAGCAAACACACACATCACTAAGTGACAACACCCTTCTTTTCTTTCTCTCTCACCTGGGTTCCACCAGTTGCGATCAGACAACCAGCTAGGTTCTGCTCAGGAATTAAAATCTTCCCCTCCACTCATGGAAACCTTTCAATTAAGTTTAGCAAGCAAAACACCCACAAAAGGCACTGCATGGCATCTGTTAGATGGCTGCCTTTTCAGAAAAGCCTAACCATTCTGAAAGCACTCATCTTGCATTCATTCTGCTTAATCCCAGGAACACACTTTACCTCCTCACCTTCAAATCAGAAAGAGATCAGATTTTTAAGAAGTGTAATTAAGACTAAAAACATCTGATGACAGCTTGACAGCTCTGAACATTCACCCAAATAAATGAACTAGGTCACTTGTCTGATATTGTTACCTGTAATTTTGTATCCATATGCAGCCAGCTGTCCAGCCATATATTCGCCATCCGAATTATTGTGAGAACATCCCCATGTACGAATCCAGATTTTCTGAGCACCAGGAATAATGCTGTTAAATAAAAAAAAAATGAAAGAGGCAAGTTAAAAGATGAACAAGCTTCCCCTTTAAGTCCACTGAACAGACTCAATTAATTGTAATTCTCTAAATATAAAATAAGCAGCACAAACAGTAACAATTCCAGCACAGCCAGCGAAGAACATCGTGATTATGCGAATTCAGTGTAGTGGGTACTAGGTCTGGCTGGCAGGGCATTAACTTTCTCCACAGACACCCGCCTGGTGCTGCGCTTTGTATCTGTGACTCGAGCAGTGCTGGTAACAGACCTGTGGTGTTACAGCTATTGCTGAACAGCGCTTGCACAGCACCAAAACTTTCTGTTTCCCCCTGTGCTGCACCCCACCACAAGCAGGCTGGGGCTGGGCGACAGGCTGGGAGGGAACACAGCCGCGATAGCTGGCCCAAACTGACCAAAGGTATAACCCATACCAGGCAGCACGGTGCTCAGCAGTAAAAACTGGGAGCTTGACCTTTCCAAAGCAGCCCCTGTTCTGAGACTGGCTGGCCATCAGTCTGCTTGTGGGAGGCGGCCAGTGATCACTTTTTGCATCACTTGGGTGTTTTCACTCCTCTTTCCTTCACTTACACTGTCTTTATCTGAACCCACAAGTTTTCTCGGTTTTTCTCTTCTAATTCTCTCTCCCAGCCTAGTGGGAGGAGGGGTGAACAAGCAACTGGGTGGCAGCTCCGCTGTTGACCAGGTTCAGTCCACAAGCAGCAAGAGTTTTAGAACAGAAAAGGAACAAGAGCTGTAGGCTAAGAAGAGATTCAGTACACTGAAGTTCACAAACAACCAACTTCCTGAAAATTGTATCAATAACAACTGACCTTCGAGTGACTGCACTGAAATTAGGCCAGCAACAAACACACTGTTAGAACTAAACTGCAACCTTTCGATATTAATGCACCCCTTCATTGCAGTTCCCTCCACACAAGCCATCTTTATAAATTCTTAACTTAAGCCTGCCACCAGCCACACTAATATCCCAAAGCTCATATCCCAGCCTTTCTGGACTACAGACACAGCGTGGCAGATCTGCACCAAGGAGCTAGCGCACACAATGGTTTAAGAACCAACCAAAATTCTACTAGAAGCTGCCATAAAATCTCCTGGGCTAACTGTGCCAATGAGCTAAAGATGCAAGTAGCAAAACAACACACATCCTATAACACAATCCTTTGCCCTGCCCACATCTTTTTGTTTTCCCTCCTCCACACCATGCTTCTTTAAGATCATAGAATCATTAAGATTGGAAAAGACCTCTCGGATCAAGTCCAACCATCCACCCACCACCACCATGCCTGCTAAACCATATCCTGAAGTGCCACATCTACATGCTTTTTGAACACTCCAGAGATGGTGACTCTACCACCTCCCTGGGCAGCCTGGTCCAACGCCTGACCACTCTTTCACTGAAGAGATCTTTCCTAATATCCAATCTAAACCTCCCCTGATGCAACCTGAGGCCATCTGACGCAACTTGAGGCCAGTTCCCGTAGACAGAAATAGAAATTTTTTGATGGAAGATTAATGATCGTTAAGTAGACATGTCCAACATGTGTTGCACATTACAATGTATTTAGACTTCCTACTGTCTAAACAACATACATTGTGTGCTTTCTTGGGTCAAACACACTAAAATACAGCTTGTTAGAGAATATATAGTACCTGAATACTTAGGAGAATGGAGTGCTAGCATGATGTGTCTATAGACCACCAGTTCAGCTGTACATACACTCCTGGCAGAATGAGGTCAATGCACATTTATGGTGCTCCACATAAAAGTGCACTGTTATGCTTATAAAATCTCCTCTGAACACTAATGAAAAACCAAAATTAAATTTCCTGTGCATTCCTGATGAACTTTATTTTCATCTTTATAGTGCAGAGAAATTCTATCCACCAGCTTTAACTCCATGGGAAAAAAAAAAAAACAAAACACTACCAAAATCCAGATCTCTGCACTGCAGTAGAAACTATACTCAGTCACTGAGTTCACCTATACTTCAATCAGTTCCACTGTAGCAGAAAGTCAATTCCGTTCTTATGGGAATCGCAAGAAGGAAAAATGCAAAGATACATTCCACAGTCACTGCATACTAGTTCCACTGAAATAAAACAGCAAGTTCAAAAGAAGTTTCACTGTATCATTTGCAGGATGTACATACAAAAAGCACAGACTTTGGAACTCCCAGGTTCCAGAAACCAGGTGGAAAAACTGTAGCAAGGAAGGTGTACGCTTGGTGGAAGAAGATCAGGCTAGGGAATACTTGAGCGAACTGGACACGTGTAAGTCCCTTGGCCCTGATGGGACGCATCCACAAGAGAGATACAGACGTGCTGGATAGTCCAACAAAGGACCATGAAGATGATTAAAGGACTGGAGCATCTCTCCTACGAGGAGAGGCTGAGAGAGCCAGGGCTGTTCAGCCTGGAGAAGAGAGGGCTCAAGGGGGATCTCATCAACGTGTATAAACACCTGCAGGGAGGGTGCAGAGAGGACGGAGACAGGCTCTTGTCAGTGGTGCCCAGTGACAGGACCAGACGCAACAGGCACACATTGAAACAGGGGAGATTTCCTCTGCACATCAGGAAACACTTTTCCACTGAGAGGATGACTAAGCACTGGCACAGGTTACCCAGGGAAGAGATATTAAAAAACTACTTAGGCACAGTCTTGGGCAATTGGCTCTAGGTAGCCCTGCTTGAGCAGGGGTTTGGAGAAGATGACTGCAGCTGTCCCTTCCAACCTCAACTCTTTTGTGATTCTCAGAATTTTGTTTATATTTCTCATTCCAGATGTCAAAAGGCTAGAACTCCATTTTGAAGAGCACAGCTTCTACTTATGTAATTAAGGTGAAGCATAAAATTTTTCAGAAATGTTTTACACATAAAAACTTAAGTAACAGGAACCATTTTTTCAGTCCAATTACTCCAGCAATCTATGTCTCAGTCACAGCTGATTTCTACAGAAAGTTTGTCTAGGATAAGAAACTTGCTTAGGACTTATTGTTCATTATCACTACATTTTATAAACACTATTTTATTCATTTTTATCTTGTATTCAGATTTTATGTTATGAGATAACGAGAACTTCCACCTTATTTTGACAAGCTGACAGTGCGCACGAGATACAAGAAAAGCAACAAGATAAGGTTAATGGCAGAATTTACCTGTCACTCGGGGGATCATCATCTGCCTGGACATTTTTTTGTGAATTGCGTTTTCGCACTTTTGGAAAAACATTTTTTCTTGCAAGCAGCCGATCGTGTGGTTTCAAATCTTCTGCTGACACAATATCTTCAATATCTTCAAGCACTGAATCACAGGCAGCAGGCATCTTCAAGAAGCCTTAGAGAAGACTGGTATTAGCAAGCATTTGAATACAAAACCAAAGCCTAGTATCTGCTGCATACGTTCTCATAACGAAAAGTCAGATATATTTCTACCTATACCTGCAATATATCACACATATGAGGGATAACGAGCACACAAAAACAATCAACTATCCAGAGATATTTCCTGATGCCCTCTTCCCGTGAGATCCCTGAAACACAGGCAGGGAGAAAGCCACTAACCACACAGATTGTTATTTTTTTATTTAATAGTCTGTACCTTGTCATCTTCTAATTCAAAAACTCAGCAGCTCCTCTGACATGACATAGCCAAGACATAAGTATTCTTAATCGTGTCAGGCATCACAGTGAAATAACGAGTTCACGTTACATGACAGATATGCTTCCACTCACATCACAGGGGAAGAATGAAAGATACAGCATTCAAGTGCCTGCTTCAGCGGCTGTGCTGGCTCTTTTATTCACATGCCGAAAACAGATGCACAGCAGTTCAATATGTCTTCATGGTCCTTTTGCAAACAAACTAACCTATTCCTAGAATACCTGATCCCACAGGCCTTTCATTTGAATCACTTCATCAGACAGAAACATTAAAATTCCTGTCCATAGACAGAAGATGTTAAACAACTATACTCCCTAATTTAAAATAGCTACATTGTCATCTGCTTCGTATAATATACCAGTAGATCATTAAAATCTAATTATATTTTCGACAAGAAAGTAAATACACATGCATGTGTATCTCCCAGCAGATCTCACAATCCAGATGAGTTTTCAGGAAAGGAAAAACATCATTTGCTAAAGGAGCCCACAAAAAAAAATACTGCATTAATTACACACCTCACACTGTGCTATCTGTAACTCTCAATAAGACTAAAGTCTGATTTACCACTGGAAACTTAGGTTTCTACAGGTCTCAACAGTTTACCAAGGAAATAACACAAGGGCATTTCAGAGAGTTTATAGGTAAAACACAATACTCTCCTAACTGACTGTGAAGAACAAAACAAGCCAGGCTTTAATTTCTTTAAAACCAGATTTCAGGAGCAGAAAATTCAGGCTACTGGCATACAAAATGCTTCAGAAGTTGCAGTTGAATTAGAATCATAGAACTGCTTAGGTTGGAGGAGAACATGAAGATCATCAAGTCCAACCATTAACCTGGCACTGCCAAGTCCACCACTTAACCATGTCCCCAAGCTCCGCAGCTATACATCTTTTAAATATCTCCAGGGCTGGTGCCTCAACTACTCCCCTGGGCAGCCTGTTCCAATGCTTTACAACTCTTCTAGTGAAGAAATTTTTCCTAATATCCAATCTGAACCTCTGCTTGTACAACTTGATGCCACTTCCACTTGTGCTATTGCCTGTTACTTGGAAGAAGAATTATTCACAGACCTAAGAAATTAAAACACCTGTGTGTCTTCCCCAGTATGAACGTTTCATTCAACCTTGCAAAATATGCTTTGGAATAAAACTTCACATAACCTGAACCATTACACATCTGCATTTAACTTAGAAAGGAATATAACAATGTCCCAAAAAGAATGCATCTGACAAAGATATTTAAGCATTTAGCATTCTTCTAGATCAAAAATCCCAGGATCTATAAAAAAAAGCAGCAAAGGATGAACAAAGATAAAAAGCTGTGAAAAGTCTAACAACAAAGAATATTGTGGGGGGAGGTGACATCCCTTACACTACTTTATGCCACTCACAGTATGTACAAATAGGTAAAGTTATCAACTCAATACAGGGAAGGCAAAAAAAGGTTTTGGTTTGCTGTTTTTTCTCTCTTCCAGAAAATATCTGATATAATAGAGCAGCTGGCAAAACAAATAAGCTTAGTATTTCAGTGGCCCACAAGAGAAAGAACACAGCCAAAATAAAATTCTTACCTTTTTAATTCTCTTGGATAATGGGGGGGGAGGGAAGAAAAAAGACATGTCACGAACAAGCAGTACTAGCAGACAGAAAACCACACGTTCATGTTATTGCCCAACAAATATTCATCTTCCCTCTGCAGAAATCTGTTTCTTGCTCAGTTTGGCCTCGTTAAGACTGGGTACACGTGCTGACTGGCTGACATGGTGGAACAGCAGCCACTTGTTCCCTGTCTTTCCCTGAGCAGAGACACCGATCTTTTTGTCCTTCTTTTACAGAGTCTTTTTTGCCAAAGTCTGATGTATTTAAGTTCTTTCAGACTTTTCCTCCTCCAGATTTCTGTCTTCAATCT